TGCCATCTCAGTTGCTTCTGGCCTTGAAGCTGAGGCGAGTCAAAGGGGGGAGCCGGAAGTTACTGAAAAGTAATATGTATCGATAGATGTGGAACTCAAGAAAAGAAGCAAAATAGACAAAACTCGTGATACCTCAAAATCAGTTCAACGTACCAGACCCATCATTCCAACGTCCTCTATCACCCACCACCTGACACTTTCACAAAGATCAACGTCGCGAGGCTTTGATTCGCCTACGCAGTGTCCCGTTCACTGAGGACATCACGTAGGTACTTGATATATGGTCGGATTCTTTTGGCCCTGATCTTCCAGGGAATTAGTCGAGTTGACCTCAAATAGACAAGGCCGCGTCAACTTCCGTATTGTGATCAAACGTAGTAACACTTGGCCAGGTATAAATCTTGGAATCCAACAAGCCTTAATCACCTTACAAGTAGTAAGTGCACGTAGTGCGTTTGTTAATTAGGTGACAACCCCAACCCGCGAGATTGCACTGGAATGTAGTGGTTCAACATACTAGTTTATACATAAGTAAGAAAGCGCTATGCACGATTCGTACGTGCGTACTATACACTACCTGTAAAGGTCCGCCATTGCGAGTGTTGGTAAGGCTTTCCACTGCGCAATCAAACTGCTTCACACTCTACTACAACACTCCGGTCTCATCCGTCATTGAAGAATGCCATAAAGTTCTCTGGAAACACCGCTACCAAGACGTATTGCACCCCGCACCGCGCTATACCAAAGCATGCACCATCTCTGCGTCGTTCGTGCTCCACACCCAGCGTGTATCAACGTGGTCGGTTGTTATTTCATAACCGTAACACACCTGCCAGAGATACTAGCATGTTGGTGAATATAAGGTCAGTGTCTGTTTCTAGGCAATGGTGAGCGGCGACGGGCAATGATGGGCAACGATCGGCAGCGATGAGGGTCAAGTTGCCAATACCGCTCCCCATCTCTGCCGCGAACCCTCCTCCTGCACCTACAGAGGACCTACGACTGTTGTAAAGACGCCGCTGTTGTCCACTGTGGCCGCGGCTGATTGTTTGCCAAGGGGTACATGTTGGCAATGTGGTAGGTGTTGAAACCTCCTCCCCTGCCACCTCCAAACGATCCACGACCCCCTCGGTAACCTCCTCCATTTCCGCCGCTGCTGCCGTCACCTCCACCTCGGCCACCCCGTCCGCCACGATAACCACCGCGGGAATCGCCACGGAACCCGCCATTTCCTCTGTTGGTACGGTATCCCTGGGGGCCATTGGGTGGCGACCTAGATGAAGAGTGGCTTGTCGAACCTTGGTCTGAAGCACCATTCGAGTGACCGTAGCCTCCGTTAGAGCTTCCTGATCCTGGTGGAGGTCCTCGTGATGGCCCACCGTTAGACCCGTTACTCTGATGGGAATTGCCTCGACCCCTTCGGCGATTGTTATACTGCCTCCTGCCAGTCTTTGGTTTCCCTTCCACCGAGAAATCAATCTTCTTAATGGGGTCTGTGACCATGACATTCTTATTCAAACCGAGACATTCGAGCTCATCTGCCGGTGTAGTCCAGAGTTGGAACACATTCTCCAGCTTTCCAACCTTTCGAGTTTCAACAACCCAAGCCTTGACGTACTCTCCGTCTTTGTCATAGTCGAAAGCTTGCTTAACAGGATTGAAGATCCTGTTGTCACCACGAGGGTCATTGCCGACGCCAGCAACATACTGCCAGTTGGACCAGTTCGAGCTAACGTCGTAGTCGACAAGAAGATACTCGTACCATTCGGCTCCGTACCGCCAGTCGATACCGAGATGCTTGGTTAAGAAGGAAGCCACGTTTTGACGAGCTCTGTTGGATGTGTAGCCAGTGTGGTACAGCTCGCGTTGCGAAGCATCAATCAACCCCATGCCGGTGTTTCCCTCAAGGAACCTGTTCAGGGTCTTTTGGATCTCGTCCGGCGAAGCACCGAGGTTGTCGTCCGAAACCACGTGCTTAGGGTCCGCAGACTTCCACTTAGGTGTCTTGTCGGCCTTGAAGCCAGTGACGCGGAAAAGCTGTCCTCGAAACTTCTTCGTGCAAAGACGCATGTAGTCACGCCATAGAAGTTCGAATCGCACAGCCTTGGTTCCGTCATTTTCCCCCTTCCCGTAACCGGGCGTATCTTTGAACTTGGCATCCTGTCCGTCTTCAAACTTGACCAGAGCCTCATGGATCTGGCGTCCCGTCAAGCATCCCAGTGATAGGTAAGCTGAAAGTTTGGTGCTGAAGTCGACTCCGAGCAGGCCGTTACGAGTGTCCTTGTAGCTAGACATGGCGCCTGACTTGACAAGGTGATCCAAACGCTCAATTCCGACATCCTCGCCACCGCTGAACGGATGAACTGAAGTCGCCTTCTCTGGAAACTTTGGCTCTTGATCGAAGGGACACTTCAAGGGCGTAAGAAGACCAGACTCCAGGGCATCGTAGGTGGATGGGATCTGGAACGGTGCTTGCTGGGGAGGGATAGCGGAGTGCTCAGGAAAAGGTGGAAGGGAACCCTTTGCAGGGCGAGCCAGCGTGGGTCTCGGTTTCTCGCGGAGCGGCTCTTGGGTCTTTCTGAAGGCTGTGAAAACGTCTGCGAGGTCGCTGGGGGTTTTGAAGCCGAGGTCGCGGCTGTTGAAGAGAGAATCGTTAGGATCGTAATTTCTTGTCAAGCGGAATACACTTACTCGTCAATAAAGTATTTCTCGTCCAGCCAGGTTTTGAATTCAACACCGTGCTTCTCGCAGGCTTTGGCCACTGCCTTCTCATCCTTCTTCTCTTCAATAGCTTCTTCCTCGACCATCCAGACCGCTCCAACCTTTTGGCGTTTGTCTGCGAATCCTTGAAGAAGGTCGCCAACGACATCACCGAACCTGCCTGCGCGTAAAGCCAGACCACTTCCTACGCCTTCGAGGGATTCCTTGACATTCCAAACAGACTGAGCAATGAACTTTGTTCGATGAGGTCCACACCGCCAGAACTTGCCAATCTCGCTGCGAGCTTCTGGGTAAGGGGACTTGCTTCCTTCGCGTAAGAGGCCGGAAATCTCGATCTGGTGTGCTGGGAATACGTAGACAGGGAGAACATGTGTGAATCCGTGGTCAGACGCGGTTACGAGATGGTGAAGAATAGGATTATCCGCAATGCGAAGATCGTGCCGGAGCAGGTAAATGAGGATATTGGACGCCGCCATCGTAGATAGATGCTCGTCGGGTATTGCTTTCTAGTAAAAGCCGGGATAGGAAAGTCGAGTTCTTTCGTTGCAGTGTCAGATAGACACTGGTGTTGTTTTTGTAATTTGATGGAGTGTTCGTTTGTGTTGAGACCAAGGTTCGTTGGCAAGATAGAGATCAGAAGACAGTGCCTCAGATGGAAGTTCTTGAGAGGGAGGGAGTGGGTTAAGACAAGTTTGCGTTGTTAGGAGTCTAAACCAAAGTCATGGCGTAAGAGAAGCCGTTAGATCTGCTTTAGCTCCCGACCAGCTGGGAAAGAGACTAGTCTTGGAGTCGCCACAGAAAGTGCAAAGATGATTTGCGGGCGAGTTGCAAAGAGGTAGTAGGTAGAAGGGGGAGGTTGACTGGAAGGGAAGGGTAGGCGAGGAGCGGGAGACAGGGTTCCCCTTAGGGCAAGGAACAAGCTAGGAGAAACCTTGGAGTCTGGGTCTCTCGAGAGAAGGGGGGGGGGGGGCCTGGGAGTGGAAGGGAAGATGAGGTTAGGTCGGGGCCGAAGAGAGAATGACGCAGCAGCCGCTAGTCCAGGGGTCCTGCCGCGATGCGATGGTAGGGTGGTCGGATGATGAGGCTGCAAGAGAGCTACGGCATCGACTTTTAGGTTAGACGATCGGGAGTGAAATGGGAAAGTAAAGTAAGAGTATGGAGTGGCCAGAAAGAGAGAAGGGGGAAGGACGATCTGTCTCTTTGTAATAACAAAGGAGGAACAGGAACGGAGCCGCCTCTGGTTCGGGTAAGAAGGGCAGAGTTTTTTGTCCAGTTGCGCAACAAAATCCCGGGGCGTTTTACTTGGAAGTTCAAGCTGGCCGAAGCACTGCAGAGAGTCGTTTACGCAGTTCTTGATGAACACTGGGACACAATGCAGGGTCGAGCCACCGTCCCAACTGAGCTGAACCCGGAAGGTTCACGACGCAAGCTCGCTAAAGGGGTGGAGTACTATGCAGTGAGATAGGCACCGCGTGCTAGAAGGAAGAAAGTTGATGATAGACTTGACCGTAGGATAGTTACTGTTATCCCGAGATTTGATCCAGCGAGATAGATGAAGTAATATCGAACAGACTGAAGGACGACAGGTTGTACGCAGTCAGGTACGTAAAGAAGACATGGATGGAATGGACGTCGTCGGAAAAAGAGAATGGTAAAAGGTCCAATCAGTTTGCACGGACAAACCGCCGATGGCTTAGAGTAGTCATGACGCCTCCTCTCAATGTTCTCCTCCTCGACTGGCAAGCAGACAGACTAAGTCACATTGGACCCTGAAATTTCATGATCCCTCCGAGTCTGGGCCCCCCCGGCCACCCCCCTTCCCAGTCTGTTCGGGTGGCCGCCAGATTTGGATTTGCCATGCATATCCAAGAGACAGGAGAGCCTCGACAGGAATTGGTACATTTTTCTGCGAACTGGAAGGGTGTTCTTGCCTGTCGGCCGATTCTGAATGAGGCAAGGAGGACGGCCTTGGTGGTTGCCGGGGTCAACTCCGCGACTCCCCGACCATAGACAGAAGTGATAAGATACCTAGAATCTGACAGTTCACACATATTGCGTAAGGATGGGAGGCAATTTCCATGGTTGAAAAGGCTGAGACGGGGCACGGGGAATGCGCTGGTGCCGGCACATAGCAAGGAGCGAGGAGAAAGGGCCGCAGGATTGCATGGCGATGGTGAGGACATGGGAAAGATGGATAGCAGTGCACCGAGATCGAGAGGTACTTCTGATGCAGAGATAAAGTCCGGGGTTCCAGAGATCGAGTCCACCCGGACGGATCCATGGGACTAGTTTTAGTGGAGATCACCTCTACGTACCTTACTGTGTCGGTACGTATATGCTGCCCTACCAGGGGACCACACAACCCTCAGGCCACCGACAAGCCCAGCACTCCCAGCACTCCCAGTCACCTCACACCTCACACCTCACTTGCTTACCTCGCGTTCCTACGGATATTCCTGCTGCTCGCCTTTGTCACATCTCTGATTCATCGAATTCTGCTTTGCCTTGGACAGCAATGGGATACGAATACTCCCGAGTCCCAGAACTCCCAGCTGCATCGCCCCTGGCATGGCACCGCATGGGAATGCACCGTCAAGGCTGCCGAAAGAGCTTACCAAATTCAACACCCTTGACCATCTCGCTGTGTTCGCCGACGCAGATTCCCAACCACGATGTTCCCTGATCCATCGGACTCCATCAGCAAAAAGAAGAACCACCCGATCGATGCCATCGTCGTGTGTCAAGCTGTAGCAACCGAGCATCGCGGGCAGAGCGCAAACCCATCTGCAATCCACCTCCCTGCCTGTCAATGCAGGTCGCAATGATCTTGGAGCTCGGTGCGGATTGCGGCTTCTACCTGGGAATATGATGAATCATCGGACACCACTAAACGTTCCCGCTTTGTTCCCAGACTCTGTCTTTGGCTTTGGTGCCGTCCGCCATCGCCGTCGCCGCCCCCTACTACGGACACACGCCCATTACACGCCACAGCTACTCGGCCGATCCATTGATGGATTGGGAATGACAGCTCGGTACGAGAGCAGTGCCTCCAGGCTCCAGACTCCCGACTCTTCGCAAGCTTCAGCGCCTTCATGAACGCTATCGAGTCAGTCTCCGCTTTAACTCACGGTATCAACACTGCAGTCTGCGCGGCACTTATTTCGCGCACAACTTATTTGGAAGCTTTGGTATTTGCCTACCCTACGCCCCTCCCTTCCTCCCTCCAGAGAGCCAAAATCAACAGAGACGGATTGTTGGTTGATACTTTCAATCCTACTTTGAGTCGCTCAGCTGAATGAATATGCAGCTGGGCACCCTGTTTCGACAAGCTTCAAGACCTCGAAGATGGACTGTTATTCGTCAACATCACACCAACCTCCAGCTGAACCAGGGTGCCAGCTCCAGTATTTTCTGAGCTAAAACTCGCTGGCGTATCATGCGTTCTGACAAGACTCTTCGCTTGTTCGTCAAGGTGCACATCGTTCCCAACCCGCTACTTGTATCATTGAGCGTATAGATACGCCATTCGGGTTGCATAACGCTGGCCGTGGTCAAGTCGAGTCATAAGAGGAAAAAGAAAGTTGACCATTTTCCGAGGGAGATTCCAAAACTCATCTACTAGAAAGCCGCACTTCGCGATAGATCTCAAGCGGCGGTAACCGGCCTCTGCTCCCGCGTGCGCCAAAGGCTAAAATTGCCTTGACTTGTTCACATATTTGTTCCAATGAAATGGTCCGGGGCTGATACACAACTAGGTGCCGGAACTTGAACCCCTGGCCAGGGCGACGACTCCCTTTAACTCGATCTGCGTTCAGAGCTTGGCCGCCCGGCATCACAGCTCCAGGAAGTTGCAAGTTTGTTCAAGTTCTGGCAAACGGAGAGTAATTGTGATGGACAGTGACAAGCCAACCGCGCTTCCTCAGCCTGGCAGTCAGTGCTGCGCCGAAACCCCCCAGATTACTTAGCCAATGACGGCCGTCCGCGCCAACCCTCGATCTGCGGGCTCGATGCTCAGAGAGCCATACTGATGGATCGGACCGGGTATCTGCGTTGGTGGCCCTGTGGTAGAAATGCCACGCTCTGCTTGGTTACGGCTTTTCCGACGGCACCGATTTGTGCTCCCATTCTAGGCCCTTGATCCTGAACTGGCAATCGTGTCGGAGATTCCTCCACCACAAAACGTTGCGTTGGCTTAGTGCTTGGCTCTTAAGCAAACGGCGCCCCGCCGTCACCTGCGAACACCTGCTGTTGCACTGCAGTCGCGGGTTTCACTTTTTGACAACGTGGATGTCGTTTCTTCTTCCAGAACTTTGAATACGACAAGGGGCGCGCTACAGCATGCCTCGCGATGCAAATGAGTAGCGGCAAGGCTGGTATCGGAAACCCACACTCAACACCAAATGCTACACGAGGGGCCTAGACTCTGGGGAAGGAATTGCCTTTGCGAAGGAAGCCGATCTTGAATCGGCTCTGTGCATCGTATCTCGCTGCTTGCTCACAAAATATGACACCTATGCCATGCCGTCGATGCAGATGCCGTAGGGCAGTCTTAACCATCGATCCGACCGATAGTACTCTGCCGGGCCGCAGCTTGTCGAACGAGGTCTCATTCCCGCGCCGAAATTCTAGGCCCGCCTATCCCCGGTGACACCCGGGCGAGGTACCGGACTCGGACTTCCCGTCCCACATTTCATCGACATCCGGATCGGGGTTGCGAAGCCGACCTAGGAAATATCGTTGTCTCACATTTCCCAACGACAACGACTTTCATTCCAGACTTCAAGTTCTCCATGCCACGCACGTCACTGCGTGCTCGCCACGCTACAGCGTTTTCGAGGGCCTGAATGTTTTCACCTATCGCGTGCTTACTTACCTATCCCTGTCTGCAGGTCTTAGACTTAACGCCGCTGCAAGGACTCGCCCGTGCCTGGCATGCGAACAGGTTGGCAGAAGAAGTCTCGACCGTGACCGACTCTCCTACGCGTCATTAGCTCAGATTCTAGCCTCCGTTCACCCGCACATTGCCTGGTAGACTTCAATCTTCAATTTTCTGTCGACACTGAATGCGTTCACGGTGCCTCGCCAGCTTGGTAAGATTAGCTATAGAACATTTTCCAAGCTAAAGAACATATCCCAAGCTCAGACACTGGTTTATCATCATGTCTGGGGTGCGGCGGCTAGAATTGCGGTAATCCTCACCTACCCCTCTCCACCTCTTCGAATCGATAAATGCATGCGCATTCGCTATTCGCGGTTTTCCCTCAGAGATTGCTCTCTGCCTTCTGCCTCCCATCCATTCTAGGTAATCTAATTAACCAGCCTGATACGACTGAAAGTTCGATGATGGGCCTGGGCCCCAGATGTGCATGTCCGGAAAAAGAAAAGAAAATAAGGAGAAGGATCGTCCCCGACGATCATCGCCCAACCGTCCTATGGCATCATCAGTTTCAATTACCTCCGAACCAGGTCTCTGGAGCCTAGGCAATGCATCCGTCATGTTTATAGCCGATGCCAATCAAATGCGGTATCATGAATACCCATAGCATTTGCCTGCTATTTCCGGATCGCCATGTGGCTGCTCTATGTTTGAAAAGTCTAGGCAATCTCGATGAGCTAGTGTGCCATCATCCAGACGTCTTTTCTGACTACTGGCAGGCAGTTATAGTCGAGCGATCTTTTCTTTGCGCAGTTGTTGATATCACCGTGCCAGCTTGACTAGGCCACGGGGCGTATGTACTAGGCCGATGCTGAAGAATACCCATCGATTCCGTGGAAGAGCTCTGATGGCACGATGGATTACAGTCGGGGGTCACGCTGCAACATAGGAATTCTCCGCGTAGTCGAGTCGAGTGACGTCTTAGTTGAAGTGGCGATTTCTCGCGTATGTGTGCTTCTCGGCTGCCAAAAAAAAAAGACGCTAAAACTCCACTTCTTCTGGGCCAACCTTTTTTCCACCGGTGATCAGTGGCGGCTCTCCCCGGAGCCGAGATGACCAGCCCGGGACTCTGATGGCACGCATGGCTTAGGTAGGTGCCTAGTGACGACATGGGCAAGGGAACCGCATTACAATCAAGGTGGGAAGGTCCTCGTGGCCTTGCGCTCCACGAAACGGCAGCAAGGGCCGGCCCGGTGCTTTTCTCGATAGCTTAAACATTTAGAGATCTCGTTCGGAAGGAGTGGGATATGAATCGGCTGGGTTCCGATGGATCGCTTAGCAGCGGCTACCCTGGCGAATTTCCCAGATATGATGTGATGGTCCTGTGGTACCGGCCTGTCGTGGCTGTCACAGGTCTCACGTAAAATCCGCCAGTGTAGACGGGAAGCTAATTCGCGATTCCTCGCGTATGTTGGGTATCTAGTCCATGATTGCTTGGACCGCGATCACGGGGGTTATTGCTCTAGCCCGACGACGGCATTCGTGCTACATGAGAGCGTAATCTTTTCGAGTGGTAGGATGATCGCTCAACATATCAAACCTTTCCCTAGATACAGGTGCTCCAAGCAAAGGTCTTCGCCGTTATGCCATACTACATCAATGGCTCATCCTTTTATCAACGCACAGTTGATAGACCCGTAAGAAGTGGTGCCTCAACCGGAAGGTGACTTGACCAGCAGCCCCTGGCTTGGCCACGATCTATGTCTCTGCTGACTGGGAGACATTTCAAATTCATAGCATATCTCGAAGCAGTATGGTGTTTGAACAGTTGCGCATTGAGAAGGTGGAACCGTAGTTGTCGAGGAAGTAGGTTTGACGGAGATATGAAAATCCCAAGGCCGATTATGGCAGTCATTCTACTTTATGCACTCTATCCCTTCAACTTCGAGACGGCGGCAATATATTTTTACGTCCTTTCCTAAAGGAGAACACTGAGTTGTGTAGCATTGAGCTGACCCTATTTTCCTTGAATCTGTCTATAAATGACATCGAATAAGGTAGAATTAGAGAAAGACTGGAGACAGAAATTCCGACGCCATCTAGTAGTTGATGCAATAATAGCAAAAATGTGAAAACCCGGGGTATAGACGTGTAAAGGGGAAAACAGAATGCAAGAACCAACAGCTAACACGAACACTTCCACCCCTAAGCAGCCACTACGACGACTGTTGACTCGAAGACACCTCAGGACGCAACCAATCAAACGTATCAAGCAAATCAAAGTTGAAATCAAGCTGCGTAGAGAAATCCCAGTCCATGGGGACATCGAGCATTACCCCGGCGGGCAACCCGCCGTCGACGGCGGACGAGGCCGACGCCGCGGGGCTGTTGAGCGCCTGGTCGAGGACGCGCTGGATGATGACCTTGCAGTCGGCGCAGAGGTCGCCGTTGGGCGCCGTGGGGCTGACCCAGTCGAGGAAGCCGACGAGGAGGCTCAGCTTCTGGATAATGCTCGAGCGGGAGACTTGGGGGTTCTGCGGGTGGTGGCCGCCTTGGAGGGTGGGTTTAAGGAGTTCCATGCAGAGGATGCCGCCTCCGGGAGCCGCGTAGGCCATTACCTAGTTGAATGTGTAAGTTTTCGTCGTGTTTGTTCCCAAGTGCAAGAGGTGCTGGAAGAGGAAGGGTGTTCCGGGGGGTTCGACACGTACGAGCCATTCAAAGTCACCGTTCATGCAAGATAGACGATCCATGTTTGTCCAGAACATGAGGGTCTTGGAAACCATTTCAAAGCTGACAGACAGCAATGCGCCGTCATCGTGGCCTCTTTTCGCGAGTAGCCGCTCGATGAAGAACATGTTTTGGAGGTGTTCCAGCTTCATGATGAGTCGGGTGTACAGTAACGAGATGTCGAGTTTCCTATTCTGCACGTCTTCTTCTCTCAGGGTCATGATATCGGGGAACCCAGCAACAGTCCGAAGTTGTCTTTCTTTGATTTCTCTGGAGGATGAGTATTAGCAACGTAATCATGTATTTCACGTAGATAGGTGTAAGTGACAACTGCCACAATCATCACTCACAACAACGTCTCGACCAGCGTCACGGAACCCTGTCCGAGCGCGATCTCGAATATTTCGTCCCGGATATGTGCCAGCATCACGCGGGCCCGGACGATGGTGGCAGAGTAGAGCTCGCCCTTGGTGTTCCATCCGTTTTCATCGAGTGCGGCGACATGGCGCGCCAGCGAGGCCTCGTCGGAGAGGAGGTGGTCGTCCTTTAGGTCCAGAGGCGGTGGTGTGCGCGCGTATCGGCGGCTGATGAGGGGTGGTCGGCCGGCGAATGAGGCCAGGACCTTGTCTACATAGAAGACGTAGGAGAAGAGTTTGCGCTTGATCTCGGAGCAGACGGTTGGTTTGTAGCCTGCCCCCGGCGCCGCTGCGACTTCGTCGTGGAAGCCGAGGAATGTTGATAGGGCTACTGTCTCTGCGTGGAGTTGCCAGCAAGCGAAGCCTGCGACGAAGCTTTAGTAGGCATTCCTGCAGAGATTAAGATCACTGTTTACACCATTGGTAGGGATTCAAACAGCCTTCGAGCGTTAAAGTAAAGACGTGAAAGACGCGACTTACTAGCATCGCCCGAGAAGAGCGACTCGATGATGGTGCGTTTCGAACACATGAAGAGGAGCAATGTGTTTCCCCCACTACCGGCAGCCTTGGTCAACTCTATACAAGCACCAAGACAGTACCGATACTGCATGACCACCTTCGTCCCCTCATCCACGCACTGAAACCGGGAGCCGACGTCCGGCCGGTACGGTCCGAGATAACGAGCCGCCAGCTCCAAGTACACAAACATCACGCCCAGTGACTCCCATCGCAAATTGGTGCCGGTGAACTGCGCCATCCACCTGGCCGGGTCGGACTCTTCGTCAGATAAGCACTTTGCGGTATTTCCGCAGATAGTACGTGCAAGCGCAGTGAGCTGGGCATCATCTGGCCGTCGGCCGTGTTCGCCGGCGGGAAAGTACTGCGGAAACGTGTTGTACAGCGATATCATCATGTGTTTTGCCGCTAGGCGGATCCACCCGTCGCTCGGGCTCAAGTGGCTGTCGAACAGCTTGAGCCCCGTCTCGCGGTCCGGGACGTGGCGTAGGATAGTCAGACATGTTTCGAGCGCCTGAGCCGTCAGGGGCGGAGAACACTCGAGCCCGCAGTAGGCGGTAGTCCCGATCTCTCCTATGGGCGCCGCGCTGGACGGCTGGAGCTGCTTTAGACTTGAGCGAGTCTCTTCGTAGATGCCGCAAAAGGAGGTGAAGCCGAGGTAGCCGATGCCGAGGACGGCCGGCGTGACGGCCGGAGTGGCTGCCGTGCCGGCCGAGTCCGGGCTGGTGGGTAGACTTGCAGGGATCGAGGGGCGGTGCTGGGTCGTGGATCTCGCGGGCGAGGTTGTCGCTGTTGCCGTTGATGCCGTCCGCGATACCGCCGTTGGTCTTGGACTTAATTGCGATATCGGTATGACGGTGGGCTGAAAGTTCGAAGTCAGGGGAATAGACGGCGCTCTGGAAGCACGACGTTGCTCTCTCGGCCGGGTCTGCCTTGGAGTTTCGTTTGATGTTGCTGGACTGTCACCGAGGATGTACTCGCACACCTCCCCGGGACGCTTCGACTTTCTGCATCTGTTGCATATTGGTTGCGAGTGATCGCAGGCTACTTTGCGTTTTCGGCACGGCTCACAAGCCTGCGGCCGCCCGTTCTTTCGGAGTAAGAGCCGGGGTGGTGTTTGCGTTGAATCCATCTGGGGAAAGACAAGAATTCTTTTCCTTTACTCAAGCGATCCGATCGAAAGCCCGCAATGTACCCGTATTACAAGGTTGAATGTTTCGTAAGAGAAACTTCGGGAAGTGGATTGGAAATTCTCATCAACAACACGGCATCGGCTCGACTGTTGACCGCATGAAGTTGGTGATGTGAAGTCTCGGCTTCGGCTTCGGGGGCACGGGCGGTTGAACTCGGCTTCGGAAGTGGAACCTCTCAGCCCGTTCGTCCCCACCTCCTCAAGCCGTCGCACGATGACTAAAATCTCATCTTTTGACTCCTTCAAGACCTCCACCCTCTAGCCCGACTTGACTGACCGAACAACGAACAAAACCTGAAGTTGAAAGTGACTGGTCGTGCAGGTCTAGCCCAAAACGACTGGCCGTGCAAGCCTCTCCGCCAAGGGCCTCACCAACCGAACGATGCAACTTTCAGCCCCGAGGATTGGGAACGAGGCGTGATTGGTTTTAGGAATCTCCCTCCTAGGTCGGAAAGCCGGCGGGCACCTCCACTTCGGCAACGATCCCCCCGTCTGACCCCCCGTCGAAAACAGACACTAGCACTGACAAGACTTGTACCAATGTGAACATTTTTGACCTACGACTCACAAACCGCGCCCTTTGACATGATGCCATGTACATTGGACGTGCATTCGTGCCATTGAGTGAGTCAAATGGGGACTGGCCTTGCCGAAGCCGCGTTTGCATTGGAAATCAACATCAGGCTCGTGATGTATAAAAGACGCGGCCCACGACCTCCTTCCCGGGGTCTTAGATCTAAACCGTATATTAGCAAGCAAATCAAGCACGACATTGAGTACATTACAAATCCATTGACGATACCTCAAAGAACCACCAAGTCAACGACCTCGCCGTTCTACTACTACTACTACTCCCCTTCCTCCACATGAGTTCCATCGAATCTCAGCAATACCTCAAGGCCATCCTCCGGGACAAGACAGACAACAGCAAGAACAACAGCAGCACGATGTCTGGCTCCTTCTACGAATCAGCTTTTGTGATCCCTCACATGCAGGCTTCTGCCATGCCTCGTAGGCCTCGCCAGCCTGCACCGGCACCGCGAGCAACTGTCGGCGCCATGTCCTCAGAGTCAACGCTCGTCGACAAGGACGGCGTTCCTGTGATGTCTAAGGAGAAGAACGAAGCCAACGGTGACATCTCTGGTAAGTTGTCTCACTTATTGCAGTCTACTCTTCTTCGAGTCTCCTATCTCATTACCTTCGGCCTCATATGGCCTACCGGTTACTCTGATCAGGAATGTCTGGCTTCGATAACTCTAGGACCTAGTTCTCTAACGTAGACTTCTACAGGTTCATCATCGTCGAGCAAGAATCTACTCAAGCGTCTTTTGAAGAAAGCTTGAGTTATTTTTGCAGATACAAAAGACTCAATTGGTCAGACAATTCGCACTCTACCGCGTCACATGGAACTTTGGAGCTCCGGGCTAGCGTCAGCCTCCTGCTGATCCTTCTACCCTATTACCACGACTACTGCAAATCACTCGAGCGCTCATACCCGTAACGGGCGCATGGCTGCAGTCTTACATCGGACCATATGCATACACGCTCTTGCCAAGCCTGGTGGTTTCCATCAGATGACCAGCCGCACTTGCGCTGTTACCAGGTTCATTTGGCCAATAGTACGACCATGCATTGATCCTGCACCGCGACTTAGTGCTCCTTCAAACACATACACTCTTTAATTATAATTCGACATCCAACTCGATGCAGCTGGGAGAGTACACGTTGGCTTGGGGGCGAGTCGGCTTGATATTGCCTCATTCTGTCTCTTACACTTTCGAAGCCGCGGAGGACGGGGTTGAGCTGAGTGTAACCAAACATTGCGGCTCTTGATGAACAATATGACCCTGGGAGATGAAAGTCAGCCTGGAATAAAGTTTTTGAGTCGGAAAGACCACAAGGGTTGGTTTGGCCTGAGCCTCCAAGGCCAGAGTTTTCACGCAACGCCTCGTAACCTTTGCGACTGCAACTTGTTTTCCATGGTAGTTTAGACTTCTACAAAATCAGAAAACAGATTCCGTTTATTCATTCAAACCCTATGAGGGTCACGAAATGTGAAAGTTTTGAGTTGCAGCACACAGTCCTGGTTGTCATTTACTCAGTGCCTTTGGCAAAACGCAGGTCAATCCCTTCAACAATCGCTTGAATGTCTGATCAGTCGTCCTAAACTTTCAGTCACGCCCATCATGATCTGCCGGACCATTCTTTTCACTATGTTGTGCATGGCATCGCTTTTCAGCGTCGCACTTGCCCAAGCATCTCAACGTCCTTCTCTGGATAATGCAAGGGACCCCCTCAACTGGTGCGGCCAGGATGAGAAGGTTCATGCGATAGGAAGAGAGGACGACTTGGCCGCTCTTGAGGCATTCTCTAAGCGCTCCTTGAACACTGAACAAGCCTCGATTCACATACCTATCAATGTCTTCCTGGTCGGAACGGAAGAACAGCGAAGTTCGGTCAAATATGTGACTATCCCACCACCCACGACTTCAAGTCTTCCTGCGAACGAATATACTGACTTGGATTATTTATCTAGAAAATCGAAATCCGTCATATTGGGACCACTCTCAACGAAGGCTACGCTAAGCACGGCATCACCTTCGGCCCGATCGAGACATACGAGGTCGCCAACGACACATACGCCAACATGAACCACATGGAGCACCGGCATGACAAGACCCGGGAAATGCAGAGAGCGCTTCGCATCGGTGGGCCTGAAACGTTGAACCTGTACATTGTGCCGAAATTGGATACAGGACTCCTTGGATACGCCGCCTTTCCCGACTTATTGACAAATCCTTTCGGTATCGTGGGAGCAACAGGGACGTGGTTCGATGGAGACGCCGTCGTCATCGGCCACAGCGCTCTTGACGGCACTCTGTTTGCAAAGGCCGTGATTCACGAAACGGGACACTGGCTGGGGCTCTACCACCCGTTCCAGGGCTCCTGCAAGATCCCCAACGGCGACTACATCCCGGACACCCCGCAGTCGCGGCACGAGAACTACGCGTGTAAGGCCAAGGACACGTGCCCTGAGTTCCCGGGCGAGGATCTGGTTTGGAATTATATGGCTTACTCGTCGTGGTGAGTTGAATCTTCCTGCGCACGTGATGAAACGGTGATGCTGATGGTGAATGCAGTGACAAGAACCTATCTTTCACCCCAGGCCAGGCGTAAGTGACAATCTACGTCTCTATACCCCCAATCTTTGACTGAAACATCGTGTCGTAGCCTTTTCATGCGTCAGTCTTGGTACAGTTTCCGCGACCCCAAAACCAGAGACCTTCCCGCCGAATCGCGAGTCCCTTATCGAACGACACCTAACAAGGATATGATTGTCCGTTCAAGATTTGGAAATGCGTAGTTGTTCTGCGCGTCTCAACTTTGTGTGACAGGATGAACAGCGTTTGAAGCCTGGAGGACCAGTCCCGACAAAATGGTGCGAAAAGGAAGTGTGCGGAACGGGCTGTAGTGTTGATGGATTGAAGGTTTCTTTAGCGAGCTTGGCTGTAAGTACATCAAGCAGAATTCAAACCTGAGAACGAGGCGTGGTCTGGTGTGAGGCTAGTCAAATTCAACTTCTGCTACTTGCTGCGCTTCTTTCCGTTCTTCACTTGGAACCTTATAGTCACGGATACATCTGAGTTCGGTTACATGAGCCTTAGTCCGCGATGCCGTGCAGCCCCACTCCGGCTCCGGCCCAGATCCGCGGGCCGGAGCGACATCGGAGGTGGCCTCAAATTCACAATCGCTAGAGCCATGCATGCCTTTTTTCTTCTTCCTTTTGTCAAGTGATAAGTTCCTGTTTGAGACCATTCCCGTTGCCTTTGGGTACGAATGAACTGTTGGCGGCATTCACTCAAACAATACAAACGTCGAACCGAGCCTGTATCTGGCCAGCGGGCCTATGCCTCCAAGTGGTAGACTTTGAGAGCTTACCACTTGGAGAGATGAAACCGCCTAATTGTACAAGACAATTCTCACGGTGCTATATGCCTAGTCGGAGGGGCAATATTTCGCTGAGAGATGAGAGCTCAACTGAGCAGGCCTTACAGAAAATCGGCTTCAGTTGTAATCACCTGGAGGCTTTCGGTGTCAAACAGTTTCTTCACATGCCTTCGATACACTTTGAACTTCCCTTTCCGAGGTTACACTGAGGCTATCGTTGTACTTGAGCCAGGTCATCATTCAACATAAATGAACGAGAGGTAAACCAGCCAAACTGACATGTACGCCTTTTGGCTGGTTGTGGCCGTTGTGACTAGGATTTCCCGCAGTGGTAGGGCGTGGCTCTAACCAGACCTGGGTACTTGTTAACCCCGCTGTGGGATGTCCCACTCAGCCCCGCGAATCTGCTATGAGGCCCCCCACGTCAAGTCGAGTCTTTTTCAGCTTCACTTGCTTCTATTACTTCAGATAGCCATTTGTCACACTTCTCATAAGGACTCAGAAGTCCAGTTCTCGGCCGTGCTCAGAAAGTTTGGGTGTTGGTGTCCTAGCTGAAAAGCAAGTCACCGAGCCACTCACTACTGCCATCTCATCTCACCACCCGAGAAACAGCCTTAATTTCATCTACAAACTTATCCTTCATTGTCACTCAATCACTTTCACCTGCGCAGCCTAACATGGCCGACCTCATTGTAACCCAACACGGGTCCGAAAAGGAAATCAAGTTCGCCTCCTCAACACCCGCCCAGCGTGAGGCCGCATGGCGCCTCAACGGCGTTTCATGGGCCCCTCCAATGTCCCTTGAGAACTACATGGCCCGCGAAGTCGCGCTCTCTAAGACAGCCCTTTCATCTCAGTGCAACTATTACGTCCTCTTCAACCCGGCCGACCCCGAACACATCATCTCATCCTGCGAAGCAACCGCGAAGACCCTCCTTGTCCGCGATGCCTCCTCTTCGACCCCCCGCGAGGAAAAGGCCTACGCTATCGCCTCCGTTTACACTAACCCGACCTACCGCAGCCACGGCATGGCAACGCGGCTACTGAACAGCCTAAAGGAAGCCATGGACGCCGACTCCAAAGCCAGCGCGCTCTACAGCGACATTGGTCTCACGTACTACGCCCGCCTCGGCTGGGCCGTCTACCCGTCACTCCAAGTCTCCCTCATCCCGGACGATGCTTCAGTCCTACGCAAGCCCGACGGTGTGCGATACCTCGAGGAAAGCGATGTCCCCGCCTACTGCGAAAAGGACGTCGAGCTCCTAAAGAAGAAGCTTGCGAACCTTCCGGAGGACGGAAAGACGCACGTCGCCTTCGCGCCCTCGGCCCACCAGATGCTCTGGCACTTTACGCGAGACGGCTTCATGGCCAAGCAGCTCGCCGGTCGCGAGATTACGCACCGCGGGGCGGCTACCGTTGACGGTAAGGCGTGGGTGTACTGGGACCACGACTTCCGCGAGAAGAAACTCAAGGTCCTCCGCGTGGCTGGTGACCCGGAGGCCGACGTGACCGCGCTGCTGCAGGCTGCGGTGATTGAGGCCGCCGAATGGGGGCTCGCCAAGGTGCTGGTCTGGAACCCTGATGAGGGCGTCTCGGCTTCAGCCAAGAGGGTTAGTGACAGGACTGAGGGTGCCGTACGGGTCGTCTTTGACGAGAGACTCGATGGCAGCATTCCCAGTCTGCGGTGGAAGGGCGAGGGTGAGGTCGTGTGGGAGGATAATGAGTATTATGCGTGGTGCTAGATGGCTATGGGAAAGCATATCATTGATGATCTCATTAAGTTGCGGTTTCTCCATAGATACTCAAGAGTTTTGGATGTCAACACAAAGATCATTCTACTCTTCCGTCTCTTGCAACGCCAGCGCTTTGATCAAACCGACAAATCCGATTTCAATGGCATTCGTCATCCCATCAGCGACCAACTCCTGGTTTCCAGAAAACGAATCCTTCCACCGCCCGCCCTTACCAAAGTATACATCGACGAGAGGGAAAGACAAGCCTTTCGCGCTTTCCTTTCCTCCCGAGCCTTCATTGCGATAGTCTTCAAGCATCGCAGCCATCAGTTTCTCTACATTCTCACAAAACATCTCAGCCGTCCCTGGCTTTATGGCTTCTTGCACATCGACCCATATTGCCTCCCGCTGCGCAAACGTCAGTTGCGAGCCAAGCTCCTCGTCTTGCTCAAATACCAGCAAAGACAACTTGCCCTCAAGCCGCTGTTTCCTTTCGGGAGGGAGATGAATGTCGACAATGTCGATGTGCCGCTGGATCTGCTCTCGCATGCAGTTCATCGACCAGGTGGCCGCTGTCCACTTTCCGACCACAGTGACCCATCGTTCGATTTCAGTCTTTGAAAAGAACGACTGACTTCTGACCGGCGCTTCTCGGGCGGCTC